CACAGACCCTTAGCTAAACAAACTACAGGTTATCCATTAAGGGACTCAGCAAGCTGCAGCTTGTATCATTGCCTCTGAACGTTGGGCTTCCTCCCAGTCTCCTGAGCAGTCTCTGGGAATACAGTCTGGCCATTACCCTGTGTAGATCTGTTTCACTTATCTAGCAAAAGATAAAAGACTACTGTCAAGCAACTAGAAAGCTAAAAATCTGATCCCAGAATAATGAAACTATCTTGGTGCATTACAGACAACAGACAGGATCCTTCTCATTGTAGATGAGAGCAGCAGCACCCTGTGTGTGGCTCCAAGGACAAGGTCTCTGCCTCTGGGAACCAGCAGCTCAAACTGAGTGCTGTGCAAACTGAGACAGCAGGGAGAATTACAGGTATATCTTGGTTTACATTTCTTGCTTAGGTTTTCTTCCTTTTTTTTTTTTTCTTTTTCTTTTTTTTTTTTTTCCTTTGGAAGTGTGGGGAAGGTTTTTAATGTACTTGCCTGAGGACAAGGCAGCGCTGTGAACAGCTTTCATTTCATTTCGAGGGTCTCTTCTTTCCTGGGAGCTGTGTTACCACGCCCACAAGGGCAGCTTTGAACGTGTCTATTTTAGTGCCTTTCATACTGGCTAAGAACTTCTGAGTTGGCACCAAAGAGAGAAATTGGGTCACTGGAAAGCAATGTGTGGATATTGTAAATAAGATTACTTACAGGGCTGATGTTGTAGATGAGAGTGATAGTGATGTTTGAAGTTTACCATCTGTGCTGAGGAAGAGGAAAGCATCCTGAGAGACAGATGGTCAAGTACACTGTCATGCTGTCCTTTTCAGAGAGGGGAAAAAAAAAAAAAAAAGTTGGCTTGAAATGCACTTTTCAACTTTCTGTTATGCAGTGTGCTCTTTCGTGGTTTTGTGTCTCTTTTGTTTTGGTCTGATCTTCTGATTATTTATTTGTCAGCAGACACATCTTTACAAAAGAGGATCAGCTGTCTGTTGACATCCAAGTCAAACAGTCCATGACTTTCTGCCATTCTGGTTTAGCTTAGCACGAGCCAATACTGACTGTTGTTAGAGGATCTTCTCCCCACCCCCGAGTAATCAAACGTAAGGTCCTTTGTAGGCAGATAAATGAGATAAGTGCAAAAACAGGCATGGAATGAGGCTCTGAAGCCTAAATCGCTCAGAGTGCTCAGGAACCAGAGGACTTCTGACGGTGCATACTGTAAATCTGCAGTGAACTTTTTATCCAGTCTGAGCGCTGCTGCTATGCAGAGGGGAGATGCTGCTTGGCAAGCCTTGCTGACTTATGTAGTGCTTTGTTTGGAAGCAACAATGGAATTTGTCTTAAGACTTAAGGGTACAGAGTGGGGGCTTGGACACTTCTGGAGCTATAGGCACTGATGCAGTTGTAAAGATGTCAGGATTTCCAATTAGCCCAATTCCCTTTCTGTGCAAAGGCCAGGCACTGGTATACTTCAGCCCACTGATTTAGGTTTCTTATCTCATTTTTACAGCAGAGTCTGGAGCATCAAAGCAAATTTGATGTTTATTTCTTTGTAGGAAACTAGAAAGCCTGCTCCGAGGTCCAGATTTTCAGTGTAAAGTTTCTCTCCCTCATCTTATTTGCATGGCTGAGTTATAACCCTCTAAATTAGAAACTGAAGCATTGGCAGACTCTAGCTAACAGCTCTAATGGATGCTATTATATTTCTGCTGCTAGCTGGCACTGAAGCTTCACCATCTCATCAGCATAAAGGGATGCTGTCAACTTGAAAAATCGTGTCTTGGAGGGAAAAAAAGCTATACCTACTATTGTAGCAAGCCTTTGCAGCAGCAGTACCTAGATGAGAATAAGGAGGAGAATGAGATTCTAGTTAGCTGTCTCTGTTCAGTTGGTTTGCTTTGTGTATTTGACAGTGCTTTGTGGTGAGTCTGTGCTGCTGGTGTGCATTAGCACCTCCCCTCCAAGCGGGGGAGATGATGGCTCTGCTGAGTGCGTGCGGGAAGGGAGCTTACTTTTGTCCCCAGCCTCTTGATAACAGCAGCAAAAGTGAGGTGAGAAAGCAACTGGAAAACGTGCATATATACAGAGAACAGGCTTCAGCTATATTGGATGCCATTGTGCTTTGTGCTGTTTAAAACTGGTTTGCAGCATGCTTGGGAAGGAAGGAGCTTTTCCCCACAGCCCCTCATCTTGCCTCCTTCTCCAGACCTGATTTTCACAGCACTCTGTTCACTGCCATTTAACAACAGATCTACGTGTCGTTTGGGAAGGGCCGGTTTTGAAATGTTCCATGTTGTCAGTGCTCTTTAAATACAGCTCCGACCTCTGCTTTGCTGCCGGACTAAATGGCTGTCAGAGCCCCTGCAGGCTCCCAGCCCCGGAGAAGTCCGGGGGCAGCTCAGCGGCTCTGCCTGCGGGACCGCAGATGGAAGAGCGAGAGGAGACCAAGCTCGCCATCTCCTGGGGAAGAAGGGGCACACAAGCGGCCGGGAAAGTTCTGTTTCACTCGTTCCTTTCATTCCCTCTTCTCTTTGTGAAACGCTGAGACTGTAGGACAATGTGCTTCTCAAATATTTAAAACGGCAAGCACGGGTTTAGCGACTGCTCTGTGGAGCACAGGTAGACTGCAAAAACTACAGCAGATGATCTGGTTAAACCTTACTTTTAACAATTATATGTTGCTTCAAAAACTAAAGCCTACCATGAGTCTATGCATATCTGTATATTTTTGAGTGTAACTCAAGAAGTTGATGGAATGAACTGTGTATACTTGTCCTTCACAGATTTCTCAGTAAAAGAAATTTGCTTAGAGATAACTCAGTTCCTTGTTGCTTGGTGTGAGTGAGCTATCACTCCACAATCAGGGTGTGTGCAGGAGGTGCTTCTCCTCAGTACTGCAATTTTTGAGCCCCATTACACAGTGAGGGCTTGGGTTTTTCTGGAAGAAGCAGTTCAGGTGATTCACATACTGTGACTGCTCTCTTCTTTAGTAATGCCCTTGGACTGGACTTCTCCAGAGGGAACAACTGTGCTCACTCCTATTCAAGGGAGATGTAAACTGTATGTGAAGAATGGCCACTACCGTGCTGAAAGAAAATAGAGCTCACTCTGCTTAACTGTTGGAAGCGGGGGGCAATTTCACTGCTGCCTGTAAACGTGAGGGGAGAAAAAGAGTAAGCTGGGAGAAAACTCAGCTAGAGGAAAGAGTTGGTACAGGAGCAATCTGGTAATAAAGTTATGCGGAATACATTTAGGCTTATCTGCCAAATAGCAGCTATGTGTGGAGGAAGGATAAAAAAACTGGTTTTAAGAGAGCAATCTTCTTGTGAAAAAGATCACGATTGTCTGTAAGCAAGACATCAAGTACACTTAATGAAGTACTCTTGCTGGTTGGGTAATGACAGTTCTTCTCAGCCTCTCTTGTTTTATACATCTTTTTCTGAGTGTTGAATTAAGTCTCAGCTCTTCTGGGATAGGTGATAAGAGCCAATAGGAGAATGCATAACACTTCAGGCAAAGATTTGAAGGCGATCTCTCATGGTCTCCTAGCTCTTCAACTAGAGTACCAGAAGGACTTGAGATATACCACTTGAAGTCATGAGATGGCATGCTTCTGATGCAGTGGGCAGTCTCCATAATTAAATCCCCATGGGCACTTTAGCTGTCTGCAGGTAGGGCAGCTATGACACTGGGACAGTCTCTTCAGTTCTTAGACTCTTCTCCACAACTACTCTACAGTTGCTTAATGGTTTTGTAATGAGAGCTTTTTGCACCTATCAGTTCATTACATTAAGCCTTACAACATTCTGACTTTAACATCAAGATTTTCCTCAGATCTACTATGAATGCTTCATCTCATTATTTATCTTTGCAGTGGTTCTTACCTTCTAGAATAAGCAATGCAATATTTGAGATTTTTAAGGCTAGGCTGTTGCAGCAGAAATGCGAAGTCAGGGCTTGAAGCTGTGATTGAACACCTGGTGGGAGGGCAGGGTCAACCTGCAGGGGAGCTCAGGTGCATGCAGTGCAACACACCTGAGTGACTGGAAGGGGTGGATCCGTCCCCTCCCAGACCTCATTTAAGGGTTGGCGGTGGAGGTGAGGGCATCTCTTGCTGGAGATCCCTGCCTACCGGAGGTCTTCTAAAGGTAAGCAGTTCTTTTCCTTCATTTTTGTGTCTACAGCTGCTGCATTTGGGTTTGCCCTCATTTGCTGTAGCCAAAGACTTTGCCACCCTGCTATTATCATCCTAGTATAGCTGTAAAGGCAACAAAGCTTCCTCAAACTGAAGAAGTCTGTTAGGGGTATTTTCCATAGTTTCAACCTCATGAAACAGATTTTTGAGTCTTCTCCCATCTCATTTCCTGAATAAATATGAAATTTACCAGTTTATCACAATAATACAAGTGTTACAATCTTCACTCCACGGGGACTTCAACAAGTGACTTGTCATGCATCTCAGCTTGCTGCACAAGCTGCATTAACACAGTATCTTTTAAAAGCACAGGCTTTACCTACATCTGTATTCCAGGCTGCACAGAGATGTCTAAAATTAATTAACAAAGCTCAGTAACTTCTGTACACATCCCAAGTGATTTCATGTTTGCAAATACAAGAGACAATATTTTCTGTTCTATGAAAGTTGGGACTGTATTTGGATGCAGAGTTCCATTTTGGTGCCTTAGGCAAACTCAGAGGAATCTGGATTTTCTTTATTTCCTGCACTTCTCTACACATTCAGCGCACATATCTATAAAGTTTTAGGTCAGAGTACTCAACTGTGATATTGCATTGAGCTGGTGCCTGGGAAAAGGTGCCCTGGAATGTTACTAAAATGGAGAGAGGATGGTTTAAAAAATGAATCCATTTGAACAAGAAATAAAGAATTGCTTTTCAGCAACAAAAGTGAGCATTCATTATACCAAGCTAGAAACCAGGCACCATCAAAAAAAGGCTGAGGTAACCCAGGACAACATTCTTCTACAGAAAAAAGGACTCACAAATTCAATTAACAGTTCATTTTTTAATTAAATAAAGATTTATACAAACATCAGAATGCTTTGGAGAAGTACAGGCACCATTTACTGTAGAAAGGCAGCACAAAGACTATCCATTCTTAACTTCTCTAGTCTGCATTTTCCGCAAAGTCCAAAGTCTAATAAACACGAACATTAATTATATGAACTCCTTTTTTCTTTTCAAACAGAAGGAGGAAATTGTTTGCTGCTAAAGATGTTCAGAGTAGTCATTTTGCAAATGGTGCTATGAAGCTGATCAGAAGGGAATGTGTTGTAGCATAATTGCCCCATTTCAAAGCATTATCCTGTAATAACAATCTGCAGCATGGCTGTGCTTCATTGAGAAGGAGAGCACTACATCTAGCATGCACCTCAGTACACACACATTACAGGGAGAAGTACCCTCCTTGTCTGCTAATGCTGGAAGGCAGCCCATTAACCAGCTTGAACCTTTTAGATCCTAATTTCTGGGCAGGGAGATAGCTGCAGCCAATGATGCAAGTGCTATTTGCCATTTCCAATTACGACCCTTGTGATTAAACCAAGCTCTGAGCCCTTATACCTTTTTCTGAAATAGAGAACTGTTATTTTTTTTGTTTGTTTTTTTTTTTTCAACAACATTATGAAAACACTTTGTGGCACCAGGCCAAAGGAATGTTTAAATGTTAGCTTTTGAAAAGCTATATAGTTAACTCAAAAAATAAATCTTTTTAATTATGTTTGGTTAATACATAAAACTTTATGTAAGCTGCAACTTAGGAGAGTTGTGGGCACAGAATATTTCCCTTCCTGGCTGCTGGAATTCACATTACTGGGTTTTCATTTGTTTGCAACAGCAGAAAGTTGGTCCCGGATTCTTCCTAGACCTTCTAACATGGTATCCAGGGTTTCTTTACTCAGTTCCACAGTCAGTGCAGAAACAACAGGACTATTTCTACATAAGGCAGCATCTTCCTGAATCTGAAAACAGAAATGTAGCAGTTAGGTGTATGAAAAATCCTTTCACAGGTTTTTCCTCTGCCACTAGGCGAGTTGCTGCTTGATGGAGAGGAAAAGGAAAATGTTTTACTTGGCAACCAGCTTCAACCTGAAGGCACAAAACACACTTCTTCACTGCGTGCCCTACCAGCAAAGTGCACATCCATTGGCAGAGCACAAATAATTGTGTACAGCCATGAGTGGGGAAATTCTGAAGAGACTAACAGCAGGAAGCTGCATTCATATCAGAAACATCTTAACAGTTATCCAGCTGATACTTAACTCATCCCAAACATAAGTGTTAGATTTTTCCTCTTCTTCTAAAGCCTGTTCTTACTGATTTGGGGAATCAAGAATGCTGCAGAATTGCCAGGTCACAGCCTGAGCCAATGGTTGAGCACCAGGTGTGGCTAATTCAGGGAGCTGAGGTGCAAGCAATGTACGAGTGACCAGAAGGGGTAGACTGAGGATCTGCCACTCCTCACCCTCATTTAAGTATCAGTAGCTGAGGGAGCAGGATCTCTCTGGACAGAGATCTGGAGCTATCACCGGTCACCAGAAGGGGTGAGCTAATTCTTCTTTCTTATCTTCTATTGCTTCATAGCACTTGTATCTCAGTAGAAGGCACTGTCATTGCCTTCTTTTGCTGCACAGGAATACAAGCAGTAAGTTTGGCTATACTGCCCGAAAGATAGATGTGGCCAGTGAAGGAAGTTAGTAATCAGAAGTCATCTTCCCAATTAATACAGTCATCCACTCATTATTGAGTTACTTTGAACTAAAACCCAATGGATTCTCTGTAACTATTTTTTTTTAATTTTATTTATTTCTATAGAGAACAATTGTGACCAGGGAGAAATATGCTGCTTCTCTCATCCTCATGCAAAGAAATCTCTCCTTCACGGTGAAGAGACAGCTTTCATCAGAGACACTATTCCCAGGCTCTGTGGTATTTCAAAGATCATCTCTGAGAAAGCCTGTTAGATGCACCAGATGCTTGTCCAAACTGTTTTGTGCTGCCACTGGTAAGTCAGGTATTGGACTCTGTTATTTTGATCCTGTTCAGGTATTGACGTTACCTTTAACTGTAGCAGGCAAGTAGGGACTGCCATTCTGTTGATGGTGTCTGAAGATGTCTTGATGTCTACCCTCCAGTCCATGTCAACCAGCCGAGGCAGGGAGACTGGGGGAACCAAAAAACAGGAATCAATTAGGCCTGACAGCACACGATGATGACACCAGAACAAGAACCTGTGTCCATCCTTATGTACATCTTCTTCACAGACAGAATCCTGCTGGCCCTGTGAAAATGTACAACCTTAGTGCTACTAACTGGTTTCACATTGTTTTTATTTATGTTGTAATAAAGCAGTCAGTGAAGGCCTCTGCCTGACCCTAGAAGAACAAACAAGGTTCTCCATCTTCACAAGTAAGGATGGCACAATGCAAGACAAGCTGAATTCACAAAGCAGGTGAGAGAAGGGGAGTGGTGAGGTATCTTATCTCTTTACATCTTGCCGCATGCAAGACTCAGCCATGTCAGCATGAGCTACTAAGGGACCTACTATGCTTACTGCTCTGTTCTGTAACTGGCAAGAAAACGCTTTGGATTCTTATAATCATACAGTATAAAGTGTTACTTCAAGCTCCTCAAACTGTGAACCAAAGCAGTCTGCAGTATTAGGATAGGAAAGGGAAACTGCATTCTTCACATGTCCTGCCAAGTGGTAAAAAATATATTGAAGATACCATCTCAGTTTCATCTACCATAAGAGAAATTATTCAACAGTCTGATTGCAGTATTGACAGCAGTAGTTCAGGGTCTGAAGATCCCATGAGCCTTCCTGTGGGAGGTGACAGGTCCAACTTGGCTGCCCTGCTGAGGAATTTGTGCACCTGTCCCTTGCAGACAGGAGTAGAGGATATTTATCCATGATGGTGTATACTTATGGGAGCTTATTTCATTATGAGTCCTCAAGTGTCCCTAAAGCACCATGCAGGCTGGCATAAAAGCTGAGGTTGAGGTTATCCCAACAAATCCCTGGCACCAACAGGCTGACTGCAAATGCTCTTTGAAATCTTGTGTTTTTCAACAGCGCTTTCAGCTGCCACCAACAGTTACTACAGGGAGCATTTGAAGAACAGTCAAGTGAAACTGTGACATGTGGGTGGCATGCAGATAGCTATCCTCCCCTTGTTCAAACAAAAACTTCCCTATTTTCATAAAGAAAATACACTTTTAACTCAGAAAAGAAAACTGTATTGATTTTCAAATCAGATCTGCAGGTGTTGTCTCACATACTGCAAACCAGAGGAAAGTGTAATTACTTACCTAACCAATATATAACAGCAGTGTTCAAGCCCTATCTTGATTGTTCAATGATAAGGCCTGATTTACCACGAAAACCCAGAAATTTGGAAAATGGCTGTAAGATAAATTTCTTGTTTAAAATACATTTTAAGGAAGCAAGTTGTAAGGTGCAGTTTAACAGAGCACGCTTATCACTCCCACTTGAAACTGTTGACACAGAACACCTCTCGCATCTTTTTCAACTCAGTTTTCTGGTAAAAGCTGAGCTATGCTTCCTATGTTCAAAAGTGCAGTGTAATATTTCCAGAGAAAAACAGTAAATTCTCACTAGGAGAAAATCTATACCGAGGACATTGAAGCACTGACAAACTCTTTCAGTTTGAAACAGGCTTTGCAGCTAACAGATACTACTTTGTCAGAACTGTATGAGAACAAATGGTTTCCAGAGGCATAAGGAAACATTGTTCTGATTTATGTCAGTTCAGGCTTTAGGAAGGAGTCTGAAGGAAATATAGGACCAACTCCACAAAACACTGGTAGAGAGGCAATAGCTTATTCTCCAACCCAATTTAAAATCTCAGCTATGGTGCTCAACAGGCTTGAGTGTCTGTGCAAAGCCTTAGTAAGTAACTGCTAATAACCATATTTTATATCTATTTAAGAGTACCAGAAGTGGATGAAGAAGCAACGATAGCTTCTACAGAGTGCTATGGAAAGAGCTGTCCCAGCAGGCAACTGCAGCCTGTCTGGATTCTGCCAATCATAAAGTGTCTAGTGTCCTCCCCAAGCATTTATCCAGTTGGACCTCTAACCCTCCTCCTGATTCCTGGCACTTGGAGAAGTTTACCTATGTGGGGAATGGCTCTTCTTCCTCCCATCAGCAGAACTGTGGGGGACAATGCAGAATTGACTGCCTTGCCTTTTGCATTTGGAACAAATTTCAGTTTATAGTCCATCATTGCAAGCATTTGGCAACATTTGCAACAACATAAAATGCATCTGTTTAGTGTTGTATGTTAATTTGCAAAGATTGATTGCTGGTGACTTAGGAAAGACAAAAAAGCATCTGCATTTTCATATTATCATAGAACAATAAGACGGGTTGTTGTCTTTAAATCTCTGCTTTTGTTCCTATGTAATGTATGTTGGATGTTTCATGAATATAACACAAAAAGAATCCATCATTTCTTAGAAAACAGTCTTATGCCAATGGGGCTAAATACTCATCTATATAAAAACATGCAACTCAGAGCGAAACTCCTGAGTGGCTCCAAGCACCACACACTCAGCCTTGCTTTTGGGTTTTGAAGTCCTAGCTGTTACATCACGCTGGCACATCAAGCTTGTGCCCATTTCCTCTAATTTTTGATTGTGTTAAGGATACAGGAAAAAGCACTGTGTCTTGGCAATGCCACAAGTGCTTAGCATAAACATGCCTGTTTTTATTGTTATTAGCATTTTGCAGTAGTTTCTTCCTCTTCCCTATTTTTCTGTCATTTATACTCCATTAAGATCTTTGAGGGACAGCTGTTTGCCACGTCCTTGCCATACTGTTCACCTCTTGGGTGCTATCCTCTTTGCATACAAAGAGAATGGCCAAGAAGATCTATGCAGGCATTTGTGCGTCTCATTTGGAAGGCCCTGATGTCATACAGCTGTCAAAAACAAAACAAAACAAAAAACTCTTAGGGAAAAAACAAAGTGGTATTGCTGTATGGAACACTTAACTGGAATGTAAGTCTTTGCTGTTGTTATCAAAAGCTGTACTGCTAAATTATATCATGCTTTGCAAAAGTGAGGAAAAAGCAAAGCTGAATATATGCCAGGGACTTTTTGGAGCATGGAAGAGTTAGATGTATTGCAGATATTCCCCAGTACTGTGCACTGCATGTGTGCATCACTTAAAGGCTTGAACAGGTGAGTCAAGAGCGCTTCAAGTTCAGAAGTGTGGCACTCTGCAACATAGCAACAGACTGAGCATGAAATGAAAGTTGCTTGATGACTGGAAAGGATTTTAGCACAGTAGCACGAATCCGAATGAAACCTTGTTAGCCTTCGCTAAGCTGTAGGATGCTGCCATCATACAGTTTCTTCTAAGGCAAACTGAGGTATGTATGTGCTGTGCCATCATGAGAGAGACTGTGAGGTACTACTCTAACCTCCAGGCTCTGTCAGATGATCTGAGGAACATTACATAATTACAAACTTACTCTGACTTGCTTGTGCCTCGTTTCTCCAAGCAGAACTGTAAAAAAGAGAAAAGAAAAAACAAAACAGAATCAGCAAAACTTGAAAAGGAAAAGAAGAAAAAAACCAAAAGCGCTCAGGGTGGCTGATCTCCGACAGGAGACACCAGGACTGCACTAGTGATCAGGGGAGAGAGACTGCTACTGAGTGCTGAGGAAAGGTGGGCAGTGGTGGAGCAACCTAATGGCCAGCTCCAAGTTCTTCTCTGAGTCCAGCTCACTTGAGGTGTACGCCTTTTGCCTCTGTTTTGTCAAACTGACCAGCTACCAAGCACTGAGCCATATGGGCACCAGAGCAGCTGTTCTCCACTGCTCTGTACTCTCCTGTACAGTGCCTCAGCTTCATATAAGCAGACAGTCCCTGGGTGCTGAACAACCAGATCATACTGCAGTGGTGAAACCCAAACCACTGTTTTATCCCCGTCTGTCTCACTGTTCTATGGCACAGCTGAGCTCGAGACAAGAGCAGTTTTGCACGATGTGAATTAGGTGCATGGCCATTTCAAAACGTTTGAAGGACAGAAGGAAAGCCCTCTGTGTGAGCTTATCCCGGCCCGTGAGCCGATGCCCACATACCAAAACGCGCACCTAAGCTTTACATTTGCCACTGAAAGCAAACAGCAGGTGCTGAGCACTCACGCATTCTCCAAGATTATTTTAGTTAAAAGGTTCTTCAGGTTTTGGTGGAAGTTTTCTGGAAACAGAGCGAGGATGTCCTCGGCCCCCGTCAAGCCGCGGAACACGACGTGCCGGGTGAGGCTGTGCAGGGCGGACACCAACTGTGGGAAAGAAGAGGGGAAAGGGCTCCGCAGGGCTCAACAGCATCACGGCGGGCTCTCCCTGCCGCAGGGCCCAGCAGCCGCGGGCAATCCCGCGCGCCCTCTCGTACCTGCGCGGCCTCCTCGGGGCTGCCGGCGATGGCGGGGCAGGCGCGCTGCGCCAGCGGGCCGAGGCGGCCGGGCGGGCAGGAGAAGCACTCCTGGCACAGCTGCCGCACTGCGTCCTTCGACGACGCCTGTCGGGGAGCAAAGCGGGAGGTGCTGAGCAGCGGCCCGGCAGCAGGCAGCCCCCCACCGCCGCAGGCTGAGCACCGCGTCTCCTCACCTTCAGCAGGCTCTGCAGGGCGACGAAGTCTTCCTCGCGCACCGCCGCCGCCATCTTGGCGCCGACGGCTGAGGCGGGGAGGGCGCCATGTTGGGGCGGGGAGGGGGCGGGCTGTGGGGCACGCCGGGCGCTGTAGTCCCGCTGTGCTCCCGCTATCGGGGGCTGCAGTCGGAAACCCACGTGGAAAACTGCGTGGTTATTTTGCTCAGGTTTCCTGCGTGTTTTGACACAACAGTCAAGCAAACTGGGGATGAATTCTGAAGTGTTTAGGCCTTAGCCCCGTGCTTCTAAAACGAGCTATCGTATGCATTGCTGGAGCTAAAATGCAGCTAAGAGTTTGCGCTGACTTAGCATCCCTCCTGCACACGGGTCTGCAGGCTTACACAGCTCTGTAAGGGCCACAGCACCCTTTTTGGAATAGTTGGTGTGATGTTTTTTCATCGTTGCTGTCAATGTACTGAAGAGTGAAACTAGGCACAGGACTTTAAGCTCGCTGCACTGCAAAGATTCACAAAGATGACACTGAAAGGCAGCAGCATCCTTCACTCCCCGTCCCCTTGTGTGGCTGCAGGCTGCTCTCACCCGCAGCTCACGGTGTCTGCTCCATGCTGAGAGAGAAACCCTATGGGACATCTATGGTGTTGTGGAGCCCCAGAGCTCGGCTGTGCTGCATACTGCTCAGCTCACAGGGACGAGGGGTCCTGCCCCTGTTCTTCGGGCACCTGCAAGTGTTGAGCTGCTCTGCTCTGCAGCACACACAAGGTAAGACGTGTGCTAATGTGAATGTGTGAATGACTGCGAGCTGGGCTTGAGATACCGTGCCTCAGGTGTGTGGCTGCAGGAATGGCCTGTGTCTGCAGCGAGAAAGCTGGGATAAAAGCCCCAAACAGCATTTTTCTCCCTCTGATGTAACCAATTCTTTACTGTCAAGGCAAATCCCTATGTTGGATGTGGAGTTTAGCAGTAAATAAAGATATTTTCAGCCAGTGAAAGAGGAAGGCAAAAGATTTATTGTGGCGTTGCTGCAGTGATATGGATCATTACCTCAGTAAACTGTGTGTGTTTTACACTTCGTGAAAGATATTCAAATCCTCTTTCTGAGGGAGAAGTAGTCTCTTCTTTATCTTGTGCAATTCACAGCACATCTGGTACCAGGACGCCCATGTAATTGATGGGCTTTCCCGTCACCTCTTCTGTAAGAACAGCCCGTCTTCATTTTCATTTGCATTATTCTCCTGTAAGTGCAATAATACATGGTATGAAATGCAAATGGAATGTCATTTGCATTGGGCTCCCCGGGTTTGGTGGGGAAAAGGTCTTCCTTTTGCAGAGGAACAGGTTTTACTTTCTGTATTGGGGAACCTTCAAGAGCAGAAAAATCCAAAGGGAGAAAATTTTATTTTCTATCATTTTTTGTAAACAACAGGAAATGATACTTGGGGGAATTTGGGGAAACAATCTGGGGGTATGAATTTACTATGTGTGGCCTCTTGGAATGAATTAGTGTGATTGATCAGTTCAGAGAACTGCAGCATGTATTTATGCTGCTTTCTCTAACAGTGCGTTACTAGTAAGTTTAATCCAGTGCAGGCAGTACATTATGGAATGTTGAAGGTTTGCTTTGTGGAGAGGCCTTCCTGGGAGAGCTGACATGCTGCTGAATTTATGTGACAGTGAATCCTGTGGATGTCAGTTGCTTATCCAGGTGATGGTACCATGTAACTCAGTGCTCTGACTGGAAAAGGAGAACAAGCTATGCAGGGTCAGGTTACAAGAAATGTGGCTTTGTCTATTCCTTCCCTAGAGGGTGAACCTGAAAGATGTGATGATGGTCTGTCTTCCAGTAATCATTACTGACCTAAAGAAATACAGCAGTGTCTGTTAACTACACATCATACATTAGAAAGTGAAGGGCGGGATTCTAATTTTTGTTTGCAAAATGAAAAGTGTGTAAATTAAATGAACTAAAAAATTGTATCCCAAAGGAAAAATGAAATAGTTTTTTAGAGGTCAGGATTTAAGACCCAGGAAGCTGGAATCATGTCTTCCTTCACTTGGACCAATGTAAGTCATTTTTGTTACCCAAGTGACAGGAAGGAGTTGCAACTTTTGTATAACATAAAACTCTGCATTACTAAATGTAGGCATTATGAATGGAAAAGGTATGAAAAGGCAACACTGTATTGTGATCTCTGGGCAAGTACGACTAAAGGAAACATAGAAGAACTGAATACAGGATATCACTGAAAATGGTAACTGTCCTCTTAAAATTGGCCTGCATGTTTTGTTTCCTGACCCCAAAAATTAGCATTTTCTACTATCAGAGGTAGGCAGAATGCGTGTAATTGCTAAACATTCTGAAATGCCATCTCCAAGTGGGGAAGCAAGTCTTTGTGTTTTGGCAGAGGTCTTGTAAAGCAATCACTGTACAACAATTACATAGAAATCAGAGTGAGCTATGCCTAGGTTAAGGACCTAATAATACAGAATAACTTTGTCGCATATATGGGTGGAGAGATACAAAGTGCAGGAGGGAGGAGAGGGAGCAGATAGCTAAAGTTGCTGTTAAGAAGCATGGCAAGGGAGAACGTTTACTTGTGAATCACATATTTGGAACAAAAATATTGCCTGCCAGTAAACATAGCTGGCATCATGTTGAATTCATTCTCCAGTCTGCTTCCTATTGTTGTCATTTCCTTGCTGCGGAAGCCTTCTGGTTATGAAGAAACAATGATAGGTTTGTTTTAATATCAAAATCAAAACGCTCCTTTTGTAGCACACAAGTAGTCAGAAACCAGCAGAAATGCTTAGTAAACATGTTTCACCTGAAGGTGAGTGAATTTTTGTCCTGTTTTTCTTTCAATTTCTTACTCCTTTAGTACCATCTGTAGCTGTCCTCATGGTCCTCCGAAGTCAAATTTCCTGATGCAGCAGGGAGTGAAGGGTTGAGGCTGCATCATCTAAGAAAGGCTTGTCCTGTGATCAGTGTGCCTATCAGGAAGCTCTGAGAAACACAAATTCAGCTATCTGCTGTGCCAGAGGCAGTTCTGAGTTTGAAAAAATTGGTTAAAGGAATGGAGTGAATTGGATAACCTCCTTTAGTCTACTTACAGCCCTTTTTTTCCATGATTTCATGTCTATATCACCCAGTGGGACCCAGCTGGGAGCTCTCAGCCTGCAGATGTATCTGTGCAGCACTCTGTGCAGGAATTGGCTTGGATATGAAGAGCTGAAATGCTGTTAGTCCAGACAGAGTCTGAAAACTAAATTCTTCTTCTGTATAGGGCAAATTTACTTTTGCCCGGGCCTGGGTGATACAGCTATAATACTGACTGATTTGGAGTTCTCTTGCTTGAGCCAGCTTGGGTACCTACAAATCGTTCTCTCTGAAGTAGTACAGAAATGTCTGTGTAAGACAGTATGTGGGCAATAGCAGTTCAGGGAACTGGGTAAGTGAGCAATCTCCAGTCTGTGAGACTCTTAAATACTGGTTATAACTTTCTAAATTCAGGATCTCCCAAACATGCAGGTGTGGGTGTATGGATACATGTACATACTAGCTGTTACTATCAGATAATAAGTACTTATTTTCACACCAAGCCTCTGTTCCCAGCCTTGTGAAAAACAGATAAACAAAGACCCCAAACCTTCAGAACTTGATAATTTGTATGGAGGGATAGGATGAGTGGCCCTGGTTGGGTATTACTTGAGAAGAGCAGAGGTGAAAAGAGATGAGTTCTGAAGGGTAGCGGGAGGTTTCTGGTGGGAATTGGAGATCCTCTGGGGCCTGGAGTGGGAGCACCATTCTTCATTTGCCTGCTCACTTAAAATAGTGAATTGTCCTTGATTGTTGTTTTGTTTTGTTTTTTAATCTACTGTTACCTGACTAGCAGGTGTCATGGTTATGAGAGACATCTCTATGTCCTCTCAAGTCCATGCAGTTGTAAGAGCGACATGGATAATTACATGTGTCAAGAAACAGTCACAGGCAATTTCCTTGTGATCAGCTGTCTCTGCTGGACTCTTGAGGTGTTTAAACCTCTTCCTACCTGGAAAATATTGGGAGAGAAGTTTCCTGTGTGCTTTTTTTTTTTTTTTTTTTTTTTTTTTTGATGGAGAGAGAATAATATCTGACTGCTTTGGTTTGCTTTTTGTTTGTTAAAAAAAAAAAGGGGGGGGGCGAGGGAGGAGAAGAATTGAAGATTGAGAGAAGTACTGGAAGAACTAAGTGTAGTAGTGTATTTCAGATCCACAGTATTTCTCTCAGTCAGCTGTGGTGACAAAATAAATTCCATGAAACCACAAGACAAAAATAAAGAGATGGAAAGCTGAATGGAAGAATTTCAGTAAGCCACTATAAAGTATGCTTTATGTTTTTAGACACAGCTTATATAACTCCAAGGACAGATAAACATTTTGCAAAAATGTCATCTTTGTTTTAGTCCATCAACTGCAGTAAGTGCCCAAAATAAATGTATGTGACAGGGAATGTGTTGTGAGGAATGAGCCAGTCTTGCTGTTCTAAATATGTTCAAGGTAAAAAAAAAATAGACATAAAAAAAGCAATCACATAACTTGACAAAAAACATTCCAACAGCCAGTCTTTTTTATTCTTTTTTTTTTTTCTTTTTTTTTTTTTTTCTCCTTAAGAAGTTAAAAAGGAAAGGAATAAATTTAGCTTCTTTACAATTCTTGGTTGGAGAATTGCAACCTTTCATACTCCAGGAAAAGATGCTTCAGTTCTAGCTCACTTTGGCTGTTCATGGCTCCCTCAGAGAGAAATCCCTTGGAAGATTAAGGTTTTGATGGGAAGAACCATTAGACTTTTCCTTGCAGTTGTAGTGTATATTCATTGGAGCATCTGTTGCAGAACAATGGTCTCTTCTTTATGGGCTTTCTGCTGCAAGGCAGGGCTGTGCTGTGTAACCGCACCCTTCTGGGTGTGGGCAGTTTCCCTGCTGCAAGGAAAAGTGAAGCTGTACTGCTCTGACTAAAAACAGTTCCCCAGTAGGTAATCCTGCTTTATAGAATGAGTGAGATAAACCAAGAGACTTCTATTCCCTAGTAACTTCTGTATTTTATTTTATTTAAGTAGTGT